TTTTTATTTTATCTCCCGCAGTTTTCAATAAATAGGATAAGAAAGCTGCCTATGACAGAACATTTGTCACGTCACTCCATCATAGTAAACGCCCCACATAAATCTTAATCATAAAATTGTGAGTTAAAACCTTTTATAAAAACTATAATAAGTGGGTAAGTTATGATGAAAAAATAATTGAAAAGAAAAGTACTCTTAACTTTTTTTTTTTTACCAAAGATGTTATACCTTAAATTAAAATCAATATGAAGGGCTGTTTATATTGTCTCGTCCGGTAACATAGGAGATGAGACGGGATGGAGGACATATATTCATGTCTCTCTCTATATATATATATATTAATTTTCGTTATAAATTATTTTTGTTTATCCATTATAACAATACCAAAAATAAATAAATATTAAGTTTAAAAAAGTAAATAAAAGTCACATGCTTAAGTAAGTTTTCTACCTTGATGTTTTAAAAAAATGCTTTTAAAAATGTAATTTAAACAAACTCGAATCAATACAATATGATAATATATTTTTGTCAATATATATTTAGACTTAATTAGAATTAAGGATAATGGCCTCAACATGTAACATTTACTTTAAAAAAAATTTGAAATATGAAAAAAAAGAAGGTCAAGTAATCCATCTCTATTTGTTAAAACTAAAAAATAGCATAATTATTTTACTAGTTAAATCAAATATTCACAGCTATTACTCAATTACATGTTATTTGGATACTTAAAACTATATTTTGAAGTGAATAGGACTTTAGTTAATTACTTATGGTAAAAAAAATTAAATTCAAAATGGCAATACGATTTTGTTATTAAAAAGTTTAAAAAAATCTTATGAATGTCCCGATTCCATTCTATCGTGAACACCTTTAGATATGAGGATATCTATACACAGCAAATAAAAAGAATTACACACACACACCAGGAGTGCAAAGAAATGGATGCCCATTCTCGATAATATAACGCACGAGAATCTTTTTATCCAACATTATTTATTCACAACAGATTATCTTCATTTTTTTCCAATAAAGATACCCACCACAAATTTGATCATGTCACTTTCTTCTCAAAAAGGAATTGGCGCCACTAGACCCAAAGGTTTGGCAAGTGACAAAAGATGATTGTTTTGGTTTCATGTCCATATATCACCTTTTCAGTATGTTTGACCTTTCAATTTTACTCTTTTTACCGATTTAAATGAGTAGAATAAAAAGTTTCGTATTAAAGAAAATATATTTTTAAAGATGATGCATCTAATAAGAATGAATTAATTTTTTAAATAATGCCAATAATTTAACTATCTCTTATTAACTTTGGTAAAATAGTTTAAAATAAGTTATATATACACACACATACTTGCCACTTTTAATATGTTGGAAGCAAGAAAAGTCTCCTTAAATCTTATTAATTATACTTTAAAATTTAATAATTTTTTAAATTTATTTTTGTTTAATATATGTTATAAGAAAATAATAAATGAAGGACAAAATAATATAATTATATTTAAAAATTAATAATATGAATTATAATAGAATAAAAAAATTATCTCACAACACCGGGGGTCCAGTAAATAAATCAAGGCCCATTCTTAATAATAAAACACACGCAATTCAGTCCCTATAAGTGGTCCACTACTTGGATCCCAGATTACTTGCTGCCAAAAGTGATTGATTATTCTATTTCATGTCCATATATAATATAGGGAGAATGACATTGAGGTCCCACAGAAGCCAAAATACAGCAAAAAGGTCCCCTGAAATGTCATAATTTTTCTGAAGTCCCAAAGGGACTTAGATGCAATTTTCAGAATCTGTAAATTACTCTCTTGCCCTGCCCTAAGCCATCAGAAACGAAGAAGCAGAATTTCATTTGGGTGAGAGTTCCCACGCAATATGCTTGAGAAAGAAGACATTGGGAAAGAGGGAAGGAGCCATTGATGATGAAATATCCTCTCTATTGCCATTAGTGAACTCCAAAGAGCTTCCATGTGAATCTCTACAAACTTTCAGGTGTGAAACTTTCTTTCTTCTTCTCTCCTACCTTTCTTGACAGATTGTGCTTTTGTTTGGAAATGGGAAATCAAAAAATCATTTTTGTGTTTTTGGGTTGCTTGTGGGTGGTTTTGGAAAGGGGATTCAGAAGTTAATCAATAGAAAAGCTGTGTTTTCGGTTGGTGTGTGTTGTGATTTAAGTTGGGTGTGTAGAATGATAATGGGTGCTATGTTTTTGGGTTGTTTTTGGGTGGTTTTCCTCTGTTCTGACGTTAGTTTAGTGGCAAAGGAAGAAAAAGATGAAGGTTAGTGAGGGTAGAAACCCTTAGCACGAAATGGGATTATGTTGTCAATCATGCCGCGATTGTTGTCAATATGTGCCGCTACACTTGTCAATGTAGCCCCTTAAGTTGTCAATGACAGTTGTGTGCTGGTTGATGCAGGTTTAAGTTACTGATGGTATTTCAAAGCTTTTGTTTTTGGTTTAGGATTCAGAAGTTAATGAATGGAAAAGCTGTGTTTTTGGTTGGTGTGTGTTGTGATTTAAGTTGGGTGTGTAGAATGATAATGGGTGTTCTATTTTTGGGTGGTTTTCCTCTGTTCTGATGTTAGTTTAGTGGCAAAGGAAGAAAAAGATGAAGGTTAGTGAGGGTAAAAACCCTTAGCACGAAATGGGATTGTGTTGTCAATCAGGCCGCGATTGTTGTCAATGTGTGTCGCTACACTTGTCAATGTAGCTCCTTAAGTTGTCAATGACAGTTGCGTGCTGGTTGATGCAGGTTTAAGTTACTGATGGCGACTACGTCTGGAAAACATCTAAAATAAGAAGGTTTATCATTGTGGAATATGCAAAGAGCCTGGACACACTGCCAAGACATGCAAGAACCCAAATCCCACCTAAGAACATAATGAAATCAGCTAAGGGTGTGAGCCATGAGTCGCAATAGCTTAATGGTCAATAGGTCCTTTTGTAACAAACTGATCAAATTATGTTTATAATATTATTATCTTTGTTATCAGATGTTATGATACCAATTTCTTGGGGACAACTCACATTTTTATTTTTGTTGTTTTATATCTTTATTGATATCGACAAATTTATGTAATATTAATAAGTAATATAACATGAGTTAATGACAAGTGATATAACAATTTCATAACAAATGAATATGTGGATATTAACAATTGATATTCAAAATTTTTACAACTGAAGGTGTTATTTATTTATAATGTTAAGTAATATTTATATTAAAATATAATTAATCAGAAGGTGTTACTCAGAGTTATGTTCAATTAACAAGTCACTCTGCTCTATTGGCAAGTTACAGTGCTACCAGTGACAAGTCACAGTGCTCCATTGGCAAGTCACAGTGCCACCATTGATAAGTCACGGTGTGACGATTGACAAGTCATCTTGCCACCAATGACAAGTCCGTGTGCCACCATTGACAAGTCATAGTGCCACAAACGACAAGTCAGTGTGCCACCATTAGCAAGTCACAGTGCCACCATTGACAAGTCACATTGCCACCAATGACAAGTCCGTGTGCCACCATTGACAAGTCATGGTGCCACCAACGACAAGTCAGTGTGCCACCATTGGCAAGTCACAATGCCACCATTGACAAGTCACATTGCCACCAACGACAAGTCAGTGTGCCACCATTGACACTTCATTAATAATGATTATATATGACAAATAACCAAAAATATAATATGACAGAGTGATTGAAAATATCATATGTTACTAAAACAAGTTATGTAACTTGAATTCATATTGTTGACAACTTACATCAGCAAATTAATTGACAAGTGACAGTGCTCTATTGACAAGTCATAACAGGTCTAATGACAATACAGGGTGCAAGTAATGACAACTAAAATGACAGCAGAATCTAACATGCCAATTCATAGTTAACTTTCATTTACACCTTCATATACATGAAACTACACCTATTTCACAACCCATCCTAAAAAAACACAGGGGTTGCATGTAATTACGAGAAACTAACTATTGGTGTATATCCATTTATAAAAAATTCCCTTCACACCCATTTACAAAATATTCCCTTCACATTCATATACAAAAAATAGCTGATTTCATTATGTTCTCAAGTGGGATTTGGGTTCTTGCATGTCTTGGCAGTGTGTCCAGGCTCTTTGCATCTTCCACAATGATAAACCTTCTTATTTTGGATGTTTTCCAGACGTACTCGCCATCAATAACTTAAATCTGCATCAAGAAGCACGCAACTGTCATTGACAACTTAAGGAGCTATATTGACAACTGTCGCGGCACGCTTTGACAACTATCGCAGCGTGATTGACAACACAATCTCATTTCGTGCTAAGGGTTTCTACCCTCACTAACCTTCATCTTTTTCTTCCTTTGCCACTAAACTAACGTCAGAACAGAGGAAAACCACCCAAAAACAACCCAAAAACAGAGCACCCATTATCATTCTACACACCCAACTTAAATCACAACACACACCAACCGAAAACACAGCTTTTCTATTGATTAACTTCTGAATCCCATTTCCAAAACCACCCACAAGCAACCCAAAAACACAAAAACGATTTTTTGATTTCCCATTTCCAAACAAAAGCACAATCTGTCAAGAAAGGTAGGAGAGAAGAGGAAAGAAAGTTTCACACCTGAAAGTTTGTGGAGATTCACATGGAAGCTCTTTGGAGTTCACTAATGGCAATAGAGAGGATATTTCATCGTCAATGGCTCCTTCCCTCTTTCCCAATGTCTTCTTTCTCAAGCATATTGCGTGGGAACTCTCACCCAAATGAAATTCTGCTTCTTCGTTTCTGATGGCTTAGGGCAGGGCAAGAGAGTAATTTACAGATTCTGAAAATTGCATCTAAGTCCCTTTGGGACTTCAGAAAAATTATGACATTTCAGGGGACCTTTTTGCTGTATTTTGGCTTCTGTGGGACCTCAATGTCATTCTCCCTATAATATATTGAGGCTGAGGGTAGCCATTTAACCGGCGCCGTCGACCTAAATAGCATCTTCACTATTTCTAACTGTTCTCTTCGCCATGTCCAGCCATCACGAGAAGCTTCACATAGTACTGTTCCCATGGCTGGCCTTCGGCCACCTCACCCCCAACCTTGACCTTGCTAAGCTCATAGCTCAAAAGGGTCACTTCGTCACCTTCATATCCACCCCAAGAAACATCCTTCGTCTTCCCAAACTGTCCCCAGATTTGTCCGCTAATATCAATTTTCTCGAACTTCCACTTCCTCCAGTCGACAATCTCCCAGAAGACGCAGAAGCCACCACTGATGTCCCCTACAACGTAGTTCAATACCTTAAATTAGCCTGCGACGCTTTGCAACAACCGTTGACTCGCTTCCTTGAATCATCCACACCCGATTGGATATTCTACGATTTCGTTCCTTACTGGGTTGGATCCATCGCTTCCAAGATCGGCATCAAAAGCGCGTACTTCAGTATATTTAATGCAGCGTGCCTTGGTTTCCTCGGACCAGCTCCGGCTTTGATGGGTCAAGACTTGATCCGGACGAAGCCCGAAGACTACATCGTCAAGCCCTCCTGGGTTCCATTTCCTTCCACCGTGGCATGGCGTTACTTTGAGATCATGAAAATCTCAGATGGTATCACCGACAACGACTCCGGCGTTTCAGATATGTATCGGTTCGGTGCAAGTGTTGCAAACTGCGATATCGTGGTCATTCGGAGCTGTTCGGAATTTGAACCCGAGTGGCTTCAACTACTTGAAGAAATCCACCGGAAACCGATTTTCCCTGTCGGTCAACTTCCCAACACCAACCAGAAAAGCGAGGCCGACGACGACAACGAAATGTGGCGGCGGATCAAAGGCTGGTTGGACGCAAAACAAAAAGGCACGGTGGTGTACGTGGCATTCGGGAGTGAGGCGAAACCGAGTCAAGAAGAGGTGAATGAGATAGCACTTGGGCTAGAGAAGTCGGAGCTGCCATTTTTCTGGGTTCTGAGAATCCGGAGGGGACTCACTGACCCGGAGGTTTTGACGTTACCAGAAGGGTTCGAAGAGCGAACGAAAGATCGCGGGCTGGTTTGCACCGGTTGGGCTCCACAGCTGAAGATCTTGAGTCATGATTCGGTGGGGGGGTTCTTGACTCATTCGGGTTGGACGTCGGTTGTGGAGGCTGTTCAGGAGGAGAAACCGCTTGTGCTTTTAACGTTCTTAGCAGATCAAGGGTTAAATGCGAGGCTTCTGGAGGAGAAGAAAATGGCATATTCGATTCCAAGGGACGAGCGCGACGGCTCGTTCACCAGTGAATCGTTGGCTAACTCGTTGAGGCTTGTGATACTGGAGCCCAAGGGAAGGGCCTATCGAGAAAAAATAAAAGAGATGAAGGACTTGTTTGTAAACAAAGAAAGGCAGGATCAGTACCTACATACTTTATTAGATTATCTCAAAGATCACAGGAACCGATGAGGGAGACCGCTTCTTGTTAGAGAATAATGCTGGAGAGTTTTACTGTACTGTGCATGATAATTTGCTTCATGGATTCAATAATGTTGAAAATTAAATTAATCAAGATTGTGATTGCTTTTCATATCATCTTAATTTACAAATTCTTCTGGCAGTTTATTTATAGCTATGGAGTCAATCAATTTATAATCTAACATGTACAAGGATTTAGCTCATTTTTTAAGACGTTACGTACCTAATTTATATTCTTTCGGTCTTACAAGTACTAGTTTTTATTAGATAACTGATAAGTATATATGGATATTATCCGTAATTATCAATATATGTACGTAAAATTGTTTATTGGATGAATATATTACGTTGCGATATTAATAGAAGCAGATCAAATCACAAATCGAATGCTATTAATGATAACCAAATTCGTTAAACATTGTTGTTTATGCTAACCAAACAGGGCAACTTTATTATTATTTTTCATGAAACTAATAATTGCATCGGTTCAAATGATGCACAAAAGAGGCAAAACACTTGCATTAAAAAAAAAAAAACAAAAATAAGAGGCAAAACACTCCGTCATTGCTCTGTTATTTATTTTAGGTGCATCAATGGCGGACCCACTTAAACTTCCTTGATCAGCCATTGATACGTTATTTGTGCCTTTTACTTGAACACTAGGGGAGCTTCTTTAGGCCCCTGCAGAAGAGACAAGACAGTTGCAGCAATGTGTTTCGATGAAAGACCAGCTTCCTCAATCTGGTCTTGGGGCGATCCATGATCGATATATCTGTCAGGAAGCACCATAGCTCTCCACTATACAACCAAAGTTTAAAAACAGAAATATTAAACCAGACAGAAATCTTGGTGACATAATTAAGGAAGTCAAAGTAATACCGGGAAGAACTATATACTATAATTTACCTTGAGGGGTCCATCTAGAAAGCCGGCCAAGCTCAGGTATCGGGAAACATGAGACCCAAAGCCTCCTATAGAACCCTCTTCCACTGTGAGCAGAATTTCATGCTCCTTCACTAATTGCTTAATCAGATCAGTATCAAGAGGCTTGCAAAACCTCGCATCAACAACTGTGACAGATACACCTTGTGTTTCCAGCAGTTTTGCAGCTTGCAGACATTGCTGGACCATTGCACCGTATCCAAGAATTGCAACTCTGGTTCCTTCTATCAGTATTCTTCCCTTCCCGATCTGCGTAACCCCAAAGGAAAAAACAAACAAAAGGTTATAATTTGATCGCTTATAATGATCTGTGAGTTACAAATGTGCTTAACCTCAAGTGGGGTTCCTTTGTTATTGGGAGGCAAAACAGCTCCAACACCATTTCCTCTTGGAAATCTAAAACAGCTTGGCCGGTCATCAATGGCCGCCGCAGTTGCAACCATGTGCATCAGTTCAGCTTCATCAGAAGGAGCCATTACCACCATATTGGGAAGGCAAGCCATGTAAGTGATATCAAAAGCTCCACAATGAGTCGGTCCATCTGCACCAACCAATCCGGCTCGGTCCATAGCAAACCGGACAGGTAGTTTCTGAAGATCCACATCATGGACCACCTACACAGTAATAATGATCAGCCATGGCTCTGTGAGATTACTATATGACCACTGAACTGAAGAAGTTCGATAGTTTTTGGCTCACCTGATCGTATCCTCGTTGAAGGAATGTTGAATAAATGGCACAGAATGGTTTGAGACCCTCAGTGGCTAACCCAGCAGCGAATGTGACTGCGTGTTGTTCAGCAATGCCAACATCAAAGCAGCGATCTGGGTATTTTTTCTGAAAATAATTTAAACCAGTTCCACCACCCATTGCCGCGTGAATAGCCACTATCTTGTCATCTTCGTCGGCTTCTTTGATCAAAGATTCAGCGAAGTACTGGGTAAAGGAAAGTGTAGGAGATTTTGGTTTGAACTGTTCGCCTGTTTTCGGATCAAACTTAACAACACCATGCATTTTATCAGCCGCTGCTTCTGCTGGGGCATATCCCTTCCCTTTCTCTGTGATAACATGTACCAGAACAGGACCTGGTGTCGGCGTGGCTTTCACTTTCTGCAAAACGTCGACCAGATCATCCAGTTTATGGCCGTTCAAGGGCCCGACATAGTACACCCCTAGCTCCTCAAAAAAAGTTGACCCATTAGCGTTGACCATCCCTCTTGCACACTCATCCACTTTCGCTGCAACTTCATGTGTTTGCCCTCCTATTTTCTTTGTGATGCTCTGTGCCAGACGAAGTCACTGTCAAATCTCGCACACTATCGAAATTTTAACGTAACGGTGCAAAGTTGGCTTACATTTGACATCCTAGGACTTACTTTTGCAGCTTCTCTGAGTTTGCGGAATTTCTTGCTGGCTTGGATCTTGCTTAAAGCACCACTGAGTGCTCCAACTGGTTTTGCAGGGCCGTCAAGGGTGGCAGTTGGTAAAGAGACTTGCTTGTTGTCATTAAGAATGATGATGAAGTTGATATCGAGGAACCCAGCATTGTTCAGGGCTTCATAAGCTTGTCCAGCAGTCATAGCCCCATCCCCAATCACTGAAATGACGTTATTCTTCCTTCCCTTAAGATCCCTCCCAACAGCCATCCCTGCCATATATATAGCCAAAAACAGATCATTGAGAATTTCTCTTACTGTGCGAAAACAGTTTGTTATGATAAGATTTAAGAATGTCTCACCAAGACCAGCAGATATGCTTGTCGAACTATGTCCTGCCCCGAAAGCGTCATGAGCACTTTCGTCCCTCTTGGGGAATCCAGCCAACCCAGAAGTTTTCCTTAAGGTATTCATCTTGTTCCTCCGACCTGTGAGGATTTTGTGTGGGTACGCCTGCAAATAATTCACTGCTTCTCTTAGAAACGAACACCAGAACAATATAACCAAGAGGGAAGAAGAAATGGAGAAACCTGGTGCCCAACGTCCCATATGATTTTATCATCAGGGGTGTTAAAAACATGATGCAGGGCCACTGCGAGCTCTACTACACCTAGGCTTGCGCTAAGATGCCCTCCAGTTTCTGAAACAGAGTGTACGATATCTGCCCTCAACTCAGCTGCGAGTTGCTTCAGATCCTGTCATATATATGTGGGAAAAAAAAAAATCAAGTCTTGTCCGGTTATAGATAATAGATGAGAGATTATCAGTATTCAGTGATTTAGGCAAATGGTTTACCTCTGTGGACAGATTCTTCATATGAACAGGGTAGTTGATAGTGTCCAGCAATGGCGTTGCCGGTTTCTGCTGTGAGAAATGAATCTTCCACCCATCATCCTCTTTCTTTATAATCGTCCTGTCTTCCTCGTCAGAGCTATTCGCAGAAGACCTCACAAAGAACTGGCACGTTTGCAGTTAATAATAATAACAGCCACTGTTAAATGAAGAAGCTTCATCAATAATAGTGATGCCCAGTTAGCCAGCTAACCTGCTTTCTGCCACCATGAATTGGAGCCGGAGGACTTTTACGGCTCAGAGGGATCGACTGGCTTGAGTTGACGAAGGAGCCGCAAAAAGCCATGGTGGTTGGGGGAGAGGGAAGGGGCAGAGCTTGCAATGGGGCTATGCACAGAGAATTCTGTACTGTTTCATTGGACGCAGAATCCGCGGTTCCTCTGTATTTAAACGCGAGAGGGACCTCAGAAGATGGCAAGTCCATAACTCCTTGTACATGCCCCAAATTAAATGCTCCTTCAGTAATTAATATAGTAACTAATTATTGAGTTAATTTTGATTTTAAATACAAAACCTATTTCTTATATTTATCAATTTTTTCTAAATTACTCATATAGATACTCTTTCAACCATGATCAAGTAAAAGAGAGAGGGAGGATATTAAGGAAGATAACACATGTTATATTTTTTATAATTAACTAACTTACCTAACTTTTTTAATCTAATCAAATTAGTCAAATAAGCCTTGTCTTAAAGACAGAAGGAGTACAAAGAATGGAGAGTTAATGTTTTCTAAATTAAATACAAAGAGCAGAGGGTTAATGTTTTCTTTTTGCGTTTTGTTTTTATAAATGAAAGAAAATGAGAAGATTTTGAAAATTTTTAATTGATGGAAATAAACTAAACTAATACAAATATATCTATACATTTTTATCATGAATTGAAATTCATCTAATAAATTTTTTTAATTATGATAAAAATAAAAAATATTATTAAGAAATGATGTTTGCTTGACATCAAACATGTGATAATTTTTAAATATAGAACTTCAATTCGGATTGAGATTATAATTATATGATACTTTAGCATGTAACGTTAGTAATGAATAACAAAACTTTGAACATTAATAAGAAACAAGATATTTCTCATTAAATATAAAATTTTAAAGACAGCTCCAATTGAACTTGAAATTATAATTAACATATTAATCAAGTTTACAATGTTATTAGTAAGAATTACAAATATTAATAAGCAAGGAGAATTTTTAAATGATGATATCAAAAAGCAAATTAAGAAAAAGGAATATATAATTTTGGAGATAAAATTTTGCAATGAATTTAATAATATTATGGATTAATAATAAAATTTTCTGATATTATTTTACTACTCTTCTTTTTCCTAGCAAAAAAGAAAAAAACAAAAGAAACCACTAATCTTCTTTCTTACTTATTTAGGTTGCTCTGTTTCTAACTGTAATAACTACTACTAGGTTCGCTGTACCTCAGAAACTGAGGCATATTCAATTAACCGCTCTGTATATTTAATGCTTTAGATATCATAATTAGAACATGCATTGTTAGATATTTATGACAGGTCATTAATTTTTTTTTTATTACTTACTCAAGCATTGCACTTAATATGAGAAACAAGCTACATTAATTGTCTTAATTAGTTGTTATAAATTTAACATCTTAAATGTGAATATTGGCATTAATTTGTTACTGTGTTGCTTTTGTTTTTTTTGTTTTTTTGGGTTCATCGTAACTCTTGATGGAGATTAATCACATTAACTGAGGTGCACTTACTCTTTATAATAAAATATAAAAAGAACTATTTAATGCCATTTCATAATTCATATTTATTATCCTAATTTCTCATAAAAGTATTTGTTACAAAAATAGATTCAAAGTATACAATAAAAGAGTTCAATGCAGGTGCATGCATGCAAAATTATA